TCCCTCCCCCGCTATTCCGGAGGCCATACAAACAAAGAGGCCATCGTCAGTACCCACAGGTAGCACCTATTGTGTAAGGGTTTCAAACACAGTTTCAAAAAGATGAACTGATGCTTAGGACAGCACTGAGTATTCCATTTCCCTGTCCTCATCTACAGTTCAGTTTTTACAACCATTAACCATACACTTTCGTGCGCCGGTTTTGGTTGCTGTCTTTTGGTTCCCCATTTGGATAACAGAGCGAAATGAAGACTGGAATGTCGAAGCAAATTCAAGCGGAAGATGGGGAATACGTATAGAGTGATGTTAGAAAAATAACGAGTGGATGCACGAATGCCACTGTTTGCGAAATACATGCAGAGTGGTGTTAGAAAAATAACGAGTGGATGCACGAGCGCCACTGTTTGCGACACCCAGCCATATCACTCAGTGTAGCTAACCATCGGTGACCATCATCCCGAGGTCCCCAGCCAGGGAGACTAACCGGGTCTATGTGACCTAGTCTCCTGGTTAGGGTTTTCATACCCTCGTGCCAGGTCTTAACTTGACCGCCCTTCGTTTTTTCCAAGTAATGACTGAACTAACAAGCCTACAAAGGTGTGCATGAGGTTGCTGTAATTGTGGTAAAAACAGTCTCAGGACGACTGTTGTTAAAATAAGGTAACAATCAGTACTGCACATAGACATAACCACCAGATAAGTTCAATAGTTGAAAACATCCATAAAGGCAGTGCAAACAGACATCCTGTATTACGCTCGAAAGTGGCCGAGGCGAGGCCACGTATGATAGTCACGCGGAAATGAGTTCGGAAAATAAAGACTGCGGAACCCAAATATGACTGGAAACCAATTCTCCACAAAGGAGAGTACAAAATCGGCAGTTACGAACTTGGGAGCTTTAAAACAAACCAACAATTACCTTGTTCATAAAGTAGGGTGGTAAATAGCCTGCATAAGAAAGCATAAGGCCTATGAAAGAATAAAGCCAAATGTGAATCAAAAATAGATCGAATGAGATTCGCATTGAGTTTCACCGCAAACTGTAACGGCAGAATAAACACCAAATGAATAATCATAAGTGCAAGTCTCCAGGTCGCGGATAGGAGAACGGCCACCTTGGTGGTTAACCGTGAATAGGTGGGGCTCCCTTAGTGAATAATCGGTCGCGGACGATCAGCGGCGTTGCTAGAGGACGTTGTGGGGTTTCGGCTGGCAACTGATATCCCGTTTAACTGCCATAAGTGTCTGCTGACAGCATCGCGACGTGTGCGAATGTGGGGACTGGAACGCACGCACTGGTCCATCAGACGAACATACTTGGCATGTTCTGGGAAAGTTCGGCCTTGGTCAAGGTTGTGAAAATGGCGAACGCCTAGTCATATTTGCTGACCTTAACCGACTGGTCATGGCCGACACTCGTTTTCAGCACCCCAGAAAACACCTACTCACGTGGTACTCAAACGATGGTCGAACGGCACACCAGATTGATTATATTTTGATACGTGCTCGCTGG